CGATCTGACCCGGGAGGTAGAGGCGGGGGAGGAGGAGGCGGGGGAGGAGGAGGAGGAGGAGGAGGAGGAGGAGGAGGAGGAGGAGGAGGAGGAGGAGGAGGAGAAGGCGAAGAAGAAGAAGAAGGAAGAAGAGGAGGCGGGGGAGGAGGAGGAGCAGGGGGAGAGAAGGGGGAGGAGCAGGAGGAGGAGGAGGAGGAGGAGGAGGAGGAGGAGGAGAAGGGGGGGAAGAGGAGAGAGAGGATGGGGAGGAGGAAGAAATAGAGGTGGAGAGGAATTGGAGGCATGAGGAAAGGGCGGATGGGGAGCAGGGGGCTGGCGACGACGACGAGAACCCACGGCAAACCACGACCATGAACGACGACGGCGACGACAGACAACAGCGACGACGACGACGACGACGACGAAAACGAAAATAACGACGACAACGATGACGACGAAAACGACGACGAAAACGACGACGAAAACGACGACGAAAACGACGACGAAAACGACGTCGAAAACGACGGCGGACAACGACGACGACGACGACGACGACGACGTTGACGACGACGACGACGGACGACGACGACGACGAAGACGACGAAGACGACGACGACCTCCTGCCGCAGATTTGCCGCATCGGCGAACCGATGGATCCCCGACCGGTGCGCTCGCGGGGGGGCCTCTCCTAAGCGCCACTCGCAGAGCAGCGGCAGTAGCAGGCCCAGGTAGACCGCGGAGTCGACGGCGGGGTGCCCCAGGGGAGGCGCCCACTCTACCCTTTTGCTCCGCCTCCGTCTCCGCCCCGTTCCGCCTCCTCCTCCTCCTCCTCCTCCCGAGGGAGGGGGAAAAGGGAAAAAATGGAGGGAGGGAGGGGGGGGGGGAACGAAAAGGTGGGCGAGAGAAGAGGGAGGGGGAAAGAAGAGGGAAGGGGAGGGAGCGAAGCGACGCCAGTGCTGGGCATGACCCTTGCGACACGGATGTGCCCGCGACCTTTCTGGCAGGGCGCGCAAACGTAGCCTCGCACAGCGTGCCAGCAGAAAACATGGATGCAATAGTGCATGCAACGGTTGTGGGGGGTGGCCGAGGACTTCGATAGCTCTCGGCGGCTTCGATGTGCAACCCGAAAATAAGCGATGTTGCGCTGTGTCGTTGCTTGTTTGGTACCACGCTGTGAATTGTCGCCGCTGAGACAAAGGTCGAGCAGGAGAAAAGGAGAGAGGCGCAGGCAAGAATAAGTGGAAGCGGGGGGAGGGGAGAGGGGGAGAGGTCAGGCAAGGGAGCTGGCGTCAAATCTAACATTGCACCCCTCCCACCAAACCCTTCCCATTGCGCCGGTGCGTCTTCATCCGCCGACGGGTGTCGAAACGGACGTAAAGCCTCCAAAAAAAACTCCATCGTGCGATACGTAGCAGAGTAATCACGCAAGGGGGGCTTCGTAGATTAGAAACGGCGGCAGCAGGGCAGGCTCCGATGATCCACGGTGGGAAGCCTTTTATACAGAATGCCGTTGGCCAGTTAACTCCCCTACGCTTCCTGGAAAAAACAACAGACCAAATTGTCGGACTCAAAGATTTCAGTGGTCGTGTACTTCCAATGTAGCGATCAGCCACAGGGCCGTCACACCAAAAGAAATCATGTTCCAAGCTCTGTGCCAATTCGATCAGGAAAAAAAGAAGAAAAGAAAAAAAAAAAAAAACAAAACAAGTAAGAAAAAAAAAAAAAAAAGAAAAAAAGAAAAAAAAAAGAAAAAGAGATAATAAAAAAAGGAACGCTGTCTTCCAAACAGGGAAAAAAGAAAAAATGAAAAAAAAAAAAAAGAAAAAAAGAAAAGAAAAAATCAAAAAAAAAAAAGAAGAAAAGAAAAAAGAAAACAAACATGAATAAAAAAAAACAAAAAAAGAGAAAAAAAAAAAAAAAAAAAAAAAAAAAAAAAACCAGAAAAAAAAAAAGAAAAAAAAAAAAAAAAAAAAAAAAAAAAAAGTAATAAGAAAAAAGATAGAAAAAAAAAAAAAAAAAAGAAAAGAAAAAGTAAAAAGAAAAAAAAAAAAAAAAAAAAGAAAACAAAAAAAGAAAAAAAAAAAAAAAAAAAAAAAAAAGAAAAAAAAAAAAAAAAAAAAAAGAGAGCGCTCAGAAATCCATACCGTCCACGCGAATATGAGATACTGCCCATCTCAATTTCCCACCGCCGGCGGGCGAAAACGCGCGTTGGGGTGTCCTGGCCAGCCACCACTAAGAAACCCGGCAAGCTGGTGAAGCGAGGACATCCTCGTCCATCACAACACGTGCAATGGTATGCGATTCTGTTCTTGGTAGCCCTTCGCGTACAGTTTCCTGGCCCACTCGTACTGTTGCGTTCTCCTGGCTTGCACCAACGATTCCACGCTGCATCGCTGCATGGACGTGCAACCAGGGCCTTCGACAGCGGTGAATGTGCTGGGATGCGAATTTTCCTGCTGAAGCCTTCGGCCGTGCGAAGGATAATCGCGCACCAGTTTTACCGTTGCACTCCAGGCTTGTCCTCATCCACACGCAAAAACAAAAAAAAAAAAAAACCAAAAAAACAAACCCCCCGGGGCTCGAATTTCAAGCGCCCGCCCCCCCCCCCACAAGAGCGCAAGTTTGACGGTCATGTCTAGCAGCTGCAACTTCTTCTTGAGGGAGCCTGGCTTGTGTATGAATAAAGCCCGCACTTGAATTAGCATCCTGCTGCTTTCGAGATCCTGTCGTCGAGCTCTCTCCCAAACGACATGTCGAGAAAGACGATGACCCCAAGGGCTTTGAAACCTTCGCCCTGGGCTGCTCGCCTGGCGTCGCGGCCATCGACGGTGACCACCATCGGGATGCCACCTGAAGCAGCTGTACACCAGCAGCACTCGTCCAGAAGGAATGACCATCCAGCCTGGTAAAATCTGTCCAGAAACGACTAGAACACATTCTGTAGCATGTTGAGCCGTGCTCCACGGATCTAAGAAGTACCTGCGAAATGTAAGAGTGCCCCTCCAACTTTGACGCCGCATTTCCTCTCGGAGCAATCCGCCTGGAACTTCTCCAAACCAACATCGAAAACCAATTTGAAGACTTCCAAAGCGTGTGGCCCTGGCGCAAAGACCGGGCGCGCCCGATGTCCTTGCTCCAAACATCTCCAGCTCAGACCTGGACCTTAATGCGGGGGCGACATCTCCAGCTCAGGCCGTGATCAGGGGTCGCTTAATGCGGGGGCGACAAATCAGGGGAAAGAGAGGTGCACGTCTCGTGCCCTAAAGGTTCCCTGCTGGGCCCTAAGGGGCCCCTTCTAGGGGCTTTACAGGGCCCCTTTTCTGCAACCCTCGCTGCCCCCCTTTTTCCCCCCATTACGCGACGCCACACGCGATCATGAGGAAACACTTCCGGTTCAGACGTTGTGCGCCGAGGAGGTTGTTCACCGTGTCGCACGCCTTGAAAAGGTCACCGTCGAAGATGGAAAAGGGAGGCACCACGTCCTGCCACTCGACATGTTTCCCGATCGAGACCCTGATCGCGCAAATCACATTCACTGCTCGCCTATTTAGACGGAACGCGAAGAGTACTTCGCTCAGATTCTCCAGGCAATTACCCTCTAGCTCCAGAGTGCACGCCAAACACCATGTCATCAATACCGGGACGATAATACTCGTTAATACTATGCTTAAATGTGCTGTATTGTGTTATTTTTTCGAATATGTTTGAAGACCTGGGTGATAATAATAAGCTGGAATTGGGGGAAGGGTGAGTAGGCTCAGCCTTCTTCGGGACGCACTGCAACACAACGCGCCCCAAAGATCTCCCATCGACCTCGGATACATCGTTCAGCAGCAAGAACTCAAACGCATCTAACAACACCTCGAACGTGTCCTCGTCGAGGCACGCGATCATCTCGATGACCGCCTGGTCTTCTGCGCACGTCCGGTTCAGCTTGAATCGATACACAAATCTGCGCACGGGGCTGCCATCATGAGGCCGATAACAAGACAGCGCGTCCGTGCGCCACGATTTGAAAACCAAGGCCGCGTGCTATCTCTGAGCGAACGTTCGCTCTCGTAGAGATTGTGGAAATGCTCAGTCGACCGCTGCCCCTCTGCCTCATCGTTGAATGCCGTGTAGGACGTACCAGGTTCCCGAAAGAACGGCACCACCGTCTTCTGAAATGGCTCGGCCGGACGAGCTGTCCTGATGGCCTCGGCCATTTTCACATCAGACTGCAGTTTTGCTACGCGCCTCCCCTGCTTGCCCACCACGTTCGCCACGAGTGCGCGGGATACTGGCTCGGATTCCACCCGCCTCCGCCGTTGAAGCTCGCGGAGTGCGCGCCTCGCCTGCTGGGTCGCCTCGGCGTCGCTGCGGCCCTGCCCACGCTCGCGACCATGGACGCGGGCCACGAAAGAGACTGCCTGGGTGTACTCGGCGATGGTAGGTAGGGACGACGAGGTGGAGGAGGAGCAAAAGCAGGAGGAAGCGGAGGAGGAGGAGGAGGAGGAGGAGGAGGGAGGAGGACGAAGAGGAACAGCAACAGGAGGAGCAGAAGTGGGAGAAGCGGGGGGAGCATGATGACAAGGGAAGGCGGGGTAAGGAAAGGAGCGGGGCGACAACAATGAGGACGCACTCGGATCCAGAAAAGTGGCCCGCGCTCTGGCGAGGGAGTCATTGAACGACGGGAGCAAAGCACCGATCCTAAAATGAGGACAACACTGTCGCGGAACCGAATGCATCAAAATGTAAGGAATAACAGATCACTCTTGTGTAAAGAATCACGGAAGAAAAGAGAGTAGTATTCATATTGAGTTGTTGTAGAGAGAGGGGAGAAGGGAGGAGAAGGAGGGGCAGGGGGGAGTAAAGGGAGTAAGGGCAGGGGGAGCAAGGACAGGTGAAGTCACCTCCCCTGCTCGCTCTTAATTCATAGTTCTCCTCCATCACCTTCCCTCCCGCCTCCTCTATCATCCCCTCCCTTTCGTCCCCTCCTCCTCTGCATCCTCCTCATCCTCTTCACCACCACCACCATCACCATCATCACCACCATCACCACCATCAGCACCACCATCACCACCACCATCATCGCCACCACCATCACTACCATTATCGTCAGTATCATTGTGATCACCATCACCATCGTCCCCGTCGTCATCGTCATCGTCATCATCACCACCAACAGCCTGACCACCATCACCATCACAATCACCATCTTCGCGGTCATCACCATCACCATCTCCCGCAGCTCTCCTTCTCCCTGCTCACTCGCATTCCAGGGGGGCACTCCAGCAGTGCAGCCGCCTCCCCCGTCGGCTCCCCAGCTGAGCAGGGCTCGCCGGGAGATCGTGGCCCACTTCCCGTCCTGCGAGGACGCCAGGTCATCCTCATTCACTGTCTGCACGGCGATAACACGAAGCCAGGACAGAGACAACATCGGGCATGTACAAATCGGGGATCTCTGAGATCTGGCGGGCGTGGAGAATGTACCAACCGCCGTGGCCTTCTCAAAGCGTTTAGCCCCGCACGAGGCGAGGCCAGGCTGCCAGGTGCCCTCTCGTGGCCAAGGGGGTTGGGACCATGGCTCCTGCCTCCGCCCTCGCAGAGTCTTTGGCGCTGCAGCGCCGGAGAGGCTCGGCGCGGTCAAAGCTGCGGCGCGATGCGCGGTAGCGACTTGCGCCTACACAGATGGCCCAGCAGGAGAAGCGGCCGCGGCGGCAGGAGAGGAGGGGGCGGTCCACTCAGACGGCCTTTTCCCCAGGGCCGGCGCCTCACACTAAGTCGTTTGATGGGAAGGCCTCAGGGCCGCGCGGGGGGCCCCCACAGGCAGAACACTCCGCCCAACTTCCATACCCGACTTTCCAAAACGTCGGAGGTCTGGGCCCATCGTCCTGCACCGACCACGGCTGTGCCTGTCCTGGGCCCCCTGGCCGGCGGCGCGCAAAAAAGAGGCAGGGGGAGGGGGGAAGGCTTTTTAGGAGGAGGCTGCTTCTTAGAAGGCGCCGGCCTTACATATACAGACGCAAGGCCCGCGCCTTCTGAGAAGCAGGGGTGCTTCTAAGAGGCCTCCCCCCTCCCCCGTAACCCCCCTATGCGCGTGGCTGAGTCTTCCTGCACCGACCACGGCTGGGCTGAGGTCGGGCATGTCCTCCTACAGGCGGTGCTTGGGAGGAAAAACAAGAAGACATGCGCAATTTCTGGTTTAAGAAAACCGTCCCCCGAAACTGTTTAGAGCATTTTGGACTATTCCTCCTGTAGAGGGACATGCCCGACTTCAGGCTGGGCCTGTCCTGGACCCCCTGGGCCTGCGCCCGCACCCTCGCCCTCGCCGCCCGGCCAGGAGGGCGCGCAGCGCTGGGGGCCTGGGGCGGGCGGGGGCCAGGATCGGTGCGCGCGCCAGCAGATGTTCAGTGCGGTCAGGCAGCCCCAACAGGAGCAGGAAGCGAAGGAGCGCCAGCACCAGGAAAGAGGAGGAGGAGGAGGAGGAGGAGCAATAATAAGAAACAGTAGGAAAAAGAAGAAGAAGAAGAAGAAGAAGACATGGGGGAATCGAGGAAATCGAGGGTCTGGCACGAGGGTCTCCAGAGGAGGAGGAGGAGGAGGAGGAGGAGGAAGAAGTAAGGAGGGGGAAGGAGGGAGAAGAGAGGAGCCAGGAATATCGGCATACCGACCCCCAAACGCCTCCCCCATCCCCCCTGCTATGGTACAGGAGGCGGATGCCTGGCGCCCCCCGACGTCCCCGTCGTCGTCGCTGGCGGCCAGCAACGACACGGCAATGGGCAGGACGTGCAGGACCGCGAACCGCATGGCCTTGGAAGCGGCTCCCCGGCCGCCCCCCGACGGGGTCGCCGGGCCGGTGGGCGCAAAAGAACTCAACGGCTGCTTTTCTTGTCGTGTTCTGCCTCTGCACGCCGTTCCCGGGCCTCAGGACCGTCGACAACAAAAAACGACGCAGGATGAACACCTGGCCCTGGGGAAGTGATCGAGATCCCCGGGGACCGACGTCACGAGAAAGTCGCAACGTCGCGGGAGAGGGGTGATGGAGGTCTCGAGAAGCCATCCAGGAGCCCCACGGGCGGATCCGCTGATCGACCTGTCACGGTGAGGGCCCTACCGATCCCCGAACAATCACAGCCTGCGTGCCTGGATGTGGGACCCCCGCGCCCCCCCCAGGCCGCGCTCCGAAAGGCACGCCCGCGAAGGGCCACTCCTGCGCGCAGCCGAGCTCTGCGCCTGGGACAGCGGGAGGAGCGAGGGAGGCCAGCTGGTGGTGGCGCTGCGGTCGCGCGCGCGCGCGCTCGGCGGCCGCCGGGTGCTGTCGATCGTCGAACGTCGCTCGCCGGTGGTGCTGTGGTGTCGGCGCGTTGGCGGAGGAGAAGCTCGAGGCCTCCGCCCGAGGCCTTGAGCACCCTTCTGCTGCGCGGCAGCGGGGGCGGAGCAAGCGAGCACAACGAGCCTGTGCTGCGCTGGTCCCGAGGCCCCAGGCCCGAGGCCCCAGGCCCGAGCCCGCTGGCCCCGCAGGCCAGGGCCACCCCCACGGCGCGGAGCAGAGCCGCTGGCCGAGGGGCGCCCCGCTCACCCGCGGAAGCGCGGAGCACCCCGCTCCATCCGCGGGGGGGGGCCTGAGCGACCCCCCGTGGGCCGGGATCGATCGACGGGCCCGCGGTCTACTCGAGGCCCCGGCCGGCGCGTCATCGGGCCACGGCTGGGCCCCGGGCGGCGACGATGGCCTCCAGGCACCAGGCGAACTCGGCCATGCACCGGTCCTCGGGTAGCCAGAAGCGGCAGGAGTGTCGCGCTGGTCGGGCGAGCCCATGAGCACGTTACTACTGCTGAAGAGATGCCAGGCTCTCGCGCAAAGAAGCGGAGGAGAACCACGCGGAGTCTGAAAGACGGCGCGAGTGTCACTGATACCCTGAATCCCTTCTGAGGTCCGAGGTCCTTTGCGCGCTCGAAGTGCAGCAGGACCAGCACCTCCAGCAAGAACCATGCCCAGCGGAACGTGTACGCGGCCACCAGGCGGTGCCGCTCCGGCACGAACGGCAGCACCCTGTCCAAGGCGAAGTCGCCTGAGTGCCCCAGGAGCCTGTGGGAGGCAGGACGGGAAACTGCTCCTGATCGAGCTCGGATCCCTGACTGTCGAACTGTTCCACGCAACCCATCGCTTCTCCCCCAGTCGCTACCGCCGTGGCCACCACCGCCGTCGCCGCCGTCGCCATCTCTTC